TTTTTTTTTTTGTGGTTGGACTCGATGATCTCAGAGGTCCCTTCCAACCACTAAGATTCTGTGATTCTGTGCTCGGTCCAGCACTGGCTGGGTGATCTAGAAACGCAACCCGGTGTCTGGGCAGTTCCCTTCTGAATGGCCTGCTGGTCTACTGTCACCCCACTGGCCTTTCTGCCATAAAAAATGGCAGACATGCTGTGAAAATGCCCAGAAATGGACTGCACAGGTTTGGGGCTTTTTTTTACAGTGCATTGTGAGACAGCACTCATGGAATAACGTGTGGAATGGGGGCTTGGAAATTGTGCTTATACTTGCTCCGTGATGGAAGATTCTTAGTCGTCATGACCGAAAAAACCTCCCCAAACCAGAACTTTTAATATGCTGAGTTTCCCACTAGCCTGATTCACAAGTCTGTGCGAGGATCCCAGCCAGGACATTCAAGTGTAGGAAGACCTCATCTAAGAATCTGAATATAGCAGAATAGCCATATTTTTGTATCCTGTCTGTACAGCAAACGGAGCTGTTTTATATGGAACAGATGCGTGGGTCCGATGCAGCCATGTGTCAGTGTGGGGCTTCCATCCTCCCTCACTGGGTTTGCATCACTTCCACCAGGAACCATCTGGAGTTCTTATTTGTAGTGTCTGGGATGGAGTGGAAAGCAGGACGTGAACCAAGAACAGCCTGTAGGAGGGGGACAAGAATAATTTTGGGCCCAGGATAAGGCTGCCTTCAGAGGCTTCAGGGTGTCCCCAGAAGTGCTGTTGTCCAGCAGAGTTGGAAGGAGAGTGGGCTAACCAGGTTACACTGCTCTGACTTAGGGTCAAACATGCTGATGGGGTTTCGGGGGGGAAAAAACCCTACAGTATTTTATTTATTGGGCAGTACCCAAGTACACTGCAAGCGTTGTGCATCACAAACCATCAGTCCCAGCAGTCTGGAAGTTTTGTGAGGTTCTTGAATATAACTTTACCATGTTTCCTCCTCTTTTTGTGCCATCTGGGGGTCCTTTGGGCACGTCCTTTGTTGGTACCAAGATAGTGGCAGGGAGCCAGGATAGCTGTCTCTGAAACCTTGGCTAACTCTGGTTTCTGGGTGTGCCTCAGGATGGGCGTTCGACATGAGCTGTTTGAGCAGCTTGTATGGCTGCAGGTGTTGTGCAATCTTAAAAGGGCTGATTTTTCTTTCAAAATCAGATATAATTCATCCATAAACTCATCCTCCCAGCTAGCTGCTACCTTTCAGGGCTTTGTTACGGTGCATCGTGAGGGATGGAGAGATCTCTGGAGAAGCTGCAGGATCGGGGCTGGCACGTACTTTTTCTCAAAGAAAGTGGGGTCCTGCCTGTGCTGCTGCCTAAAGGCTCAGACAAAGGAGCAGAGCACGGGGTGCCAGTTCTCCTCCCTCAGCCTGCCACACACTCCTCGTGTTGTGCTGGTGGGGTGGGGAGAGGGATCTCTTCTTCGCAATCAGAACTCGTCGTGACTCTCTAACTCTGTGTTGACCTCAACAGATACCCAGACCCAGCAGAACAACAACCCCTTCGGACGCTACTGATCTGTGGTGCCTCAGCCCCAGCCAGGAGGGAGAGAGACATCACTGTGGACCAGACGTGGCCTCTTCAACCCTGGCCACACACCGGGGCTGCCCCCGCCCGCTGTCCTTGGGCCCCAGCTCCCGGCGCCGCCGCTGCCCGTCCCGCAGGGAGATGCCAGGAGGATGCTTTTATTGTACAGAGAAGTGTTTTTACTACCCCGTTTCTACAAACGTTTATGGAGATCCCTTGTGGCTGACAGTCTCCCTTCCCACTTTGGTTTCAGTTTTTACTCGGTTTTTAGTATTTTTGTTAAAATAATGATTAAGACATTGTAAAATTTTGTACTTTATTTATACCAGATGAACCCCGTACTGCAGACATTCTTGGATGAATACAGAGAGCTTACTTTGCAAAAGGAGTGTGTATTCAGAGCCTGCCTTTCCTCCTCGGCGCTCCTCCCAGCACAGCCCAGCACCATCTCTACACGTGCTCTTTATCTCTTTCTCAGTAGAACTAATGGCTGCGTTTTCAGCTTTTGTGAACGGCTGAACAATCTGGTTTGGGAGAGAAAACCCTTCTTCCCTCTTCATTTCGTGAGGGTGTGAACACCAGCTTACCAGGGTTTGCGGTGAGAAGCTGTGTAGGATTTGTATGTTGGTTGCTGGTGGTCTGTGGTGTGTCCCACCAGCAGGAAGGTACAAAGCGAGGAGGGGGTTGTGTTGGGGGGGCACTCTGAGCACTGCTGAGCCCGGTTGCCCAGCCATGGCACTCACTGAGATGCTGGAGCTTGTACCTCTGCAGTCGAGGAGCTGCAGACCCAGTGCACTCCCAGGAGCACGGTCTTGCTGAGACACACCAAGGCTCCTCTGCTGGCTCCTTCCTGATGCTCATGGTGCCCTCTCGGGCTGGGTGACATGCTCCATTCTCAACTTCTGGCCTGGCTAATGCAGCCTGCTGCCATGGGAGGCTCATCTCTGCCTCTAGCAGGCAGTTTAGTGCCTCCATTCCTGCTGTCTGTTGAACCTGGAAACCGCCATCACCACCACCTTCCCTTCTCTCATTGGTTCTTCCTCAGCAGTTTGCTTGTGGACCGTTTGATTTGTGGTCCCTCAGGTAGCTTTTCTTCACCAGCCTCTTCCCTGTGTGGTATCTGTGTGGGATGTGGTGAGGCTGGCAGGGGCTCCTGTGGCAAGGGCCAGAGCCAGAGGGCAAAGCTTAGGAGTGTGGAGAGGAAGGAGGGATGAAGGCTCTGGATCTCAGCTGTGCTGGGGCTGCTGCGGGGGATGTCAGTGACCCAGGGCCATGCTGGGCCTGTACCTGCTGCTTCAAGGACCAGCACTGAGCCCCTTCCTCCCATCACCAGGGGGGTGGCTTCTTCCAGAACTGCACCAGCCTCCTGCCATGGGTTGGAAGGTGGAGATGATGGAGACAAGCTCCCTTGTCTGTGAGAACAGATGTGTGTGCAGGGCTGCTCCCTCTGCGTCCCTGCTTGTCCCCTTCCCTGAGGGCCAGGCTTAGCTTTGTCCCCCATCCCCTCCTGCCCCAGGGGAGGCCTCAGCTTGCCCACAGCCTGTGCTGGGTGACCCTAGAAGCCCTACTGGCCCTGGGAGAGGCCAGTCTCTGCTTGCAGAGACCCCCGGCCGTGGCAGGAGGGGGGCTGTGCTCCCCCAGTCCTGCCTGGGGGGTGGGCAGGGGGTGCCTTGGGGCCTGTAGAGCCACAGCCTGGGGGGCCAGCACTGGCTCTGGGCAGAGCAAGCCCCTCATCCTGGCACGCATGGAAGTGGCCAGCGGCCCCCTCCTCTGCCAGCCCCAGGAGGCAGCTGAGCCTGGGCCAAGTGGCATCTCGGATGCTGCCTCCTCCATGGCTGCTGTGCCGCTGGTGGGAGGAGGGGGCTGTGCCACACAGGGGGCACAGGCAGCTCCAGGCAGAGGGGCAGGGGGTGCCCGTCCCACAGCAGCTGTGGGGCTGCAGGAGGAAGGAGAATAGGGAGTTAGGGGCTGAGCCCCTGCCTTGTGCGGGGCCCCAGGGACCACCCTGCCTCCCTGGGGGGAAGGGGGGGGGGCTTGTCCCTCCCTGCTGCTCCCTCCCTCCCCCCCCTGCTGCCAGGGGACCCTGCTGTATTGCATGGCCCAGCAACAGGGCTGCCCCTGCTCTTTGCTCCCCAAAAAGAGGGGACCCTGCTGCCAGGGGACCCTGCTTTATTGCATGGCCCAGCATGGGGGCTGCCCCTGCTCTTTGCTCCCCAAAAAGGCTTCCCCCATCCCTGCCAGGGGCTTGGCAGGCCGGCTGTGTGCAGGATGAGCCGCAGAGCTCCGTCGCGGTGACAGACCCAGGGCTGCCCAGAGGGTTCCAGCAGGCGCTGGGGGCTCAGGGGGGGGGCATGGGGACACCAGGGTACGACCTGGTCACAGCACGGGGCACGTCTGGGGAGCTGTGCTCTGCCTGCCTGACACGTTTGCTCTGAGCCACGGTGGCTTTAAGCAGGTGTGACAGCTTCCAGCCCTTCTGCTCCTTCTCCCGCTCCTGGCTGAAACGCTGCTCCCCCCGGGGCCAGGGGGCTTTTACCCCGTGCTGCCCACTGGGTAAGGCACCCCCTGGGGTGGGGGATGTTTGATGGCCGGGGGGTAACCCCAAGGGGTGCCTGGGCAGGACACCCCCAGGTGGGGCGTGCAGGCTATGCCCTACAGCGTGTGCCTGGCACAGGGGGAGAAGCCGGGGTTGCACGAGGCTTGGCACGGTGGGGCCATGGGGTCCTGTCCCCCTCAGTGGCCTGGCACAGGTCCTGCCCGTGGGCCATGCCATGGGCAAAGGCGGGTTGGGAGGCCCCCTCAGGGCTGGTGTTGTGCAGGGAGATGGGTCACAGTGACAGACCCAGGGCTGCCACAAGACTCTCCGGCTGCCCAGAGGGTTCCAGCAGGTGCTGGGGGCTTGGCAGGGGGACACCAGGGTACGACCTGGTCACAGCACGGGGCACGTCTGGGGAGCTGTGCTCTGCCTGCCTGACACGTTTGCTCTGAGCCACGGTGGCTTTAAGCAGGTGTGACAGCTTCCAGCCCTTCTGCTCCTTCTCCCGCTCCTGGCTGAAACGCTGCTCCCCCCGGGGCCAGGGGGCTTTTACCCCGTGCTGCCCACTGGGTAAGGCACCCCCTGGGGTGGGGGATGTTTGATGGCCGGGGGGTAACCCCAAGGGGTGCCTGGGCAGGACACCCCCAGGTGGGGCGTGCAGGCTATGCCCTACAGCGTGTGCCTGGCACAGGGGGAGAAGCCGGGGTTGCACGAGGCTTGGCACGGTGGGGCCATGGGGTCCTGTCCCCCTCAGTGGCCTGGCACAGGTCCTGCCCGTGGGCCATGCCATGGGCAAAGGCGGGTTGGGAGGCCCCCTCAGGGCTGGTGTTGTGCAGGGAGATGGATGGCTGCCCCCTCGAGCAGCTCTGCGAGAGCCCAGCCCTCCCCCTGTGCTGCCCGTGGTGAGGAGCGGGCAACCAGCCAGCCCTCCTGGGCCAGTTCTGCTGGCCAGGGGGGCACAGGGAGCCCTGTCTGCTGTGGGGCAGCCCGGCCACCCCTCCAGGGGCCTCTGCAGGATGCTCTTTGGGGCTGATGAACCCTGGTGGGCTCAGGGCAGGGTTGTGTGTCCATCCCACAGGGTGCTGGACCCTGGTGCCTGCTCAAGGGCATCGGCTCACGCTGCCCGTGTGTAGCAGCCAACAGCACCACTAGTCATAGAGCCAACCACTGGCAGAGCCCTCCTCTGGAGGGGGAATGGGGCAGGCGAAGCCCACCCCCTGTCGGGGTGCGGGGGTCTCCCCACTGACCCGGGAGGGTCTTCTTCTCAGAATCTTCTAGGTTGGAAGGGACCTTAAAGATCATCTTGTCCAACCGTCAACCTCACTGACAAAAATAGACACCCACACAACAAACAAGGAGCATCCTCACTAAACCAGACCTCCCAGCACTACATCAACCCGGCTTTTGAACACCTCCAGGGATGGGGCCTCAACCACCTCCCTGGGCAGCCCATTCCAATGGCTGAGAACCCTTTCAGTGACAAAATTTTTCCTAATATCCAGCCTGAACCTCCCCTGGCGCAACTTGAGGCCATTTCCTCTTGTCCTGTCGCCTGTGACTTGAGAAAAGAGACCGACCCCCACCTCTCTACACCCTCCTTTCAGGTAGTTGTAGAGAGCAATAAGGTCTCCCCTCAGCCTCCTCTTCTCCAGGCTGAATAACCCCAGCTCCCTCAGCCTCTCCTCATAAGACTTATTCTCCAGGCCCCTCACCAGCTTTGTTGCCCTTCTCTGGACCCGCTCCAGCACCTCAATGTCTTTGTGCCCAGTACAGGGGGACAATCACCTCTTGGGCCCTACTCCCCACGCTGTTCCTGACACAGGCCAGGATGCTGGTGGCCTTCTTGGCCACCTGGGCACACTGCTGGCTCCTGTTCAGCCGTGCTGGGGCATGTGGAAGATCCAAAACCAAGGCCTGTCCTTGGGATGCTGCTGCACGAGCAGCTCCAAGGGGAAGCGGTGGGCACCCAGGCAGGGTCTGGGGGTCGCAGCTCTGGGGGCAGTGGGGGGCAGAGCCCAGCTCCTCTCTCCCGGGTCAGAAAGCGTGGCGGTGTCTGCTGGGAACTGCACATCCTCCCCTTCCAGCGGACTGAGGCTGCCCTGGCCGTGGCAGAGATGCAGAGACCAGATCCGTGCCCTGTTTTGAATGATTTCTGTAATCCCATCAGACGGGACTGAAATAGAGGTGAGGTCCCAGGGCGGGCAGAGGCAGCTGGAGGGGAGGGGGCTCTGGGCAGGAGGCCGTGTGTGGGAGGGACAGACGGTCCCGCGCTGGGATGGGCAATGCCAGGAGGAGAGGGGAATGACAGAGGGTCTTGCTGGGGTCGGGGGGGCTGTGGCTGCTGAGCTGCCCACCCAGTGCCTGGCAGGGGGTGGAGGGGTGGCAAGGCTGGGATGGGGTATCCCATACCCGTACCTGGGGAACCCTTCCTGGACCAGCGGGGTGCTGCTCCCCTGGCCATGGGGAAAGATGCCAGGGCTGGAGGGCACGGGGTGCTCCAGCTGCTCTGGGGGGTGCTGGGGTGGCTGGGGCAGGGTTCTGGGTGCCCAGGGCGGTGCGGGGATGCCCAGGGTGGAAGAGGATGCCCAGGGTGGAAGAGGATGCCCAGGACGGTGTGGGGATGCCCAGGGTGGAAGAGGATGCCCAGGATGATGCAGGGATGCCCAGGGTGGAAGAGGATGCCCAGGATGGTGGGGAGGATGCCCATTGTGGAAGAGGATGCCCAGGATGGTGCAGGGATGCCCAGGGTGGAAGAGGATGCTTGGGGTGGTGCGGGGATGCCCAGGGTGGTGCAGGGATGCCCAGGATGGTGTGGGGATGCCCAGGGTGGAAGAGGATGCCCAGGACGG